CTTGGGCCCTGTCCCCGCCCGGCCGCTCTGTGGCTTCTCTGTCGCCGCGTTAGGCTGCGGAGCCGCGCAGCGCCTTCCTGCCCGGGCTGTCGAGATCACAGCCGGGGGACGTCCTTCAAATCACACCCGTCTGTGCGGGTTTACAGCCCGTGGGCGTTCACAGTAACGTCTGTGTGGTTATTTCTGGGAACATGGACAGAAAAATCTGTGTACTCCACTTGGATGAAAATACTGAACAATATTTGCACGCTGCGCTTTTCAGAGCAGCGGTTACGTCTTTGAGCAGAAACAAATGTAATAGTTGCTTTATCACAGTATACATCTGAGGCTGCAAGTGCTTTGTGTCTTACCGCTGTTCAGAAATCCAGTATGTCAATAAGAAACAATGCTAGAATGAGCAACCTGCTACGTTAACTGTAATAAAAGTTCTGCATATCAGATTGAAATAGGTTTGTTTATACCCTGTTAAATTTTTTTTTTTTTTTTTTTGTCTCAGGAAATTCATTTCTAGGCTTCCAGATAAGGGTAAGAAGATCTCCGATTTTGCTGAAAAGCTGACACTTGCCGTTTTACAAGAGGAAGAATTAGCAAGGACGGCTGAGCTGTTATCTGCTGTCAGATTGGAGTTTCAGGTGAAACAGGAGGAGATTAATACAAGCAAACGGCAAGTTATCCTAGACAAGGACACACTGAACTGTGAAGATTGCTCAGTATTTAATGAAAACTCTAATACTGAAGTTTCTGAGATTTCTTCCCAAAGGCAGGAGGTAGAATGTATTAAGCAAGATGCCACAAATACAGCTCTGGAAAATCAAAGGACTCAGAGGAAGAATGATAAAGTGAAGACTGTTACAAAAGATCAGAATCTTTTTTGTGAAGTCATCTCCAAGTCAGCCACAAGCAGTCATCTGAAAAGTGATCGGCAGGTATCTCAGGGCAATACTGAGGATGGTACCACTGCTTTGGACAACAGTAAAGACGTGCTGGTTGATGCCTTTCAAAAAGTTACAATTGTAGATGGGGATAATAGCGAAAAAGTATTGGAAAAAGAGCAGAATGTGGCTAAACGTAAGGGCAATATCTTCGGAAGCCTGCACCCCAAGACACCGCATTATATTGAAGTTCTAGAGTCTAGAGCCAAGAACCCAGTCATAAAAAAAAGCAAATTTAAAACAAATGTGTAAGTATTATGGAACAGAAAAACCTTTTGTGAAATAATTGACTTGAATAAAATTGGAAATGGTACGGAACAAGCATGGTAGGTTTATTTTCTTGGGGTGATTAGAGAGATTTAAAGTCAGTTGACATGCGAGGTTAATATATTGGCTCTTTAGCATTAAATTCCACAGAATCTCAATATTGAGCGGTGAAACAATTGTCATGAATCTTCATAGAGTTTCATAGCTTAAGCTACAAAACTTAAAAAACTGGCAAAACTTTCTTGCGGATCAATTCTAGAACATGTAGAACTTTAACAGCAGGTAGCCTTTTGCTTTTCCTGCACCTCTAGAGAAATTACAATTCACATTGTCTGCACTGGTAGCAGTAGCAGTTTATACTTCGTGTGACTCCCAAAGCATTGCTATTTCATGCTTGCTAATTAATTGGCGTACCTTTTTTGTTCAGTATCAGGAGTAACTTGTGATATTGTCTCTCTGCAGAGAAGTCTTTTTAGTTTTTCTGAGCACTGCTTATTTTTTATTTGCTTATGGTGTCATAACACTTCAGATTTCTTTTCAACTCTTACATGTTGAAAGTAACAAGTCTTGGAACTGAAGTTGTTCAACCTTGTACTGCAAATTTGGGTCACAACTTTTATGTTTTATCTCTTCCAGGTTATCAGGAGAGCAAAGTGGATCATCGCATGGTTCCTCATCCAGTCAATCACCGGGGGGATTTGGCTCTCCAATTACTACTGAAGAAAGACGACTTAGAGAAAAGAAACATTTGAATGACATCACAGCAGCTCGGCTGCCACCGCTTCACCATTCCCCTGCTAAGCTATTATCCATAGAGGAATCCATAGCAATTCAGATACGGCAAAAAGAAGCTTATGAGGTACGATTTAAGATTTGGTCTGAGAAGTAATTATATAATTGGGATCACTCCTAAAAAACGGAAGCATAAAGGGATCTTTTCATTCTGATTAATTTGATGATGAAATTGAGATGGGCAGTCTTTGAGGAAAGGCACTTTTTCTTGTATTTGATTCTTTTAATGATGTAATTAAATAATATATTAATTCCTTCTGAAACTGTTATTCCTGCATTAAACAGAATCTAGTGTTGTTATTCGTGTGTTGATATGCTAACCTCATTGCGCTTACTTCACCTCTGACTAGAAATTTAAATGTATACCTTGCCTATTATTCTTTAAAGAGTTTTTGGCCCTCGTATAAATGAAGGCCTAGCAGTATTTGCTATTCTTAAAATATGCAAGTATCTGCGTTTGCCTTTATGCTGTGCCTGAAGAGTCCGAGTTCTGAGGTCCTTCAAATTCTGTTGCAATGGATTTTGATTTTGACTCGTCAGGTAGTGCCAAGCTAATGTTTAAATTAGACACTATTGTAAAAGTGTTTGTTGCTGCTTATTGTTTTAAAAGCACTTGATAATTTAGTCATCTTGGCACTTTAAGGGAGGTAATTTATTTGGAAAAATGGAGACAGATTTTTTGCTGAGGTTGCTGAATGACAAGCATTGCTATTGCTACGTGGTTACTGTGCACAGCTGCTCTCTTATGTGGACTGATTTTGTTCTGTTAAAGCTGACATTAGTGTATCACAGGTGAGGACTGCCACATGGGGAATTTCAACTCTTATAAAAAGGTCTTCAAATATTAATAGCATAGTTATGTCTAAGTGTGAAAAGACACTGAAATTTCTTTGCTAGTTACTAAAACTTTTAATTAAGCCTACTCTGGAATTACTAATGTTATTATATCAAGTTTATACTTTAGTATGTTAGTTTTTTCACGACCGAGATAAAAATGACAATTGAACACTTTTTCTAACTTGTGTCCTTTTTTTTCTTCTTTTATATAGGAAATGCAAGCCAAGCTTGCAGCACAGAAGCTTGCAGAGAGATTGAATATAAAAATGCTCAGGTTTGAACCAGAGGGGGAGGCCTCAATGCAATACAGAGAAGTGAGAGATGAAGATTATTTTTCAGCAGAGGACTGAATTCAAGAAGGGGTGGCTGAGGACGAGCCACGTAACTGATCTTTACGCAGTACTTCTTAAAACCCAAACCTGGATATTGAGAATGCTTGATCTAGTAATTTTTTTCTTAAAATTTTAACATTACAACTATGGGAAGCGTTCAATATAAATCTCATAAATATAAGTGTTATTAAGTGGTAACCCCAGTGTTATTTGGGGGCTGTTTTGAGCACTTGGGGCAGTTAATCCTTGTGGAATGCCCCATAGTTTTCAGCTACAGCGAAGTGAGCTCTTTAATACGCTTTTGCAGGCTATGATGAGTCATCTACAAGAGAAGGTTTCTTCTGCGCAGAAAGGTGGTTGCAAAGGGCATCAGCACGCATGTCCATAAAGTAAGCTAAGGTGCCTGTGAACTGCTTGCATGTATGAAAGCTCTTGTCTTGTATAAATGTGAGATACTTCTTTTATCTATTTAAGATGATCTTGCTTTTACCGTATGGTTAGTAAGTTAGCTTCTTATCACATGAGAACTTGTTTCTGTGCCTGCACCTTAAAATAACACTTTCTGCCCTTATGTTGTAAATAGATTAAGAATTTCAAGTTATTTTGTAACTCAAATTGTGTTTGGGCTTTAAGGGACTCTGCTGTTTCATTTTTGGTGATTACTGCAAAGCACATCAAGAGCTCAAGTTAGTCTGAAGACTTTAATATTTTTATTAAAGGTCTTGGTGTTTTTCCATATTTTTGTATGCTGCTTTCATACTTCAGAATACTATTTTTTCATAGTCTGACACTGTAAATTAAGAGATACACCCTCTGGTTTTCTTGGAGGAAATGTTCTGTGTATTTTGCAGTTTAGCTGTTCTTTGAAGATTAAAAAAATTCTTCCTTACAACAACATTTTCTGCCTTTTAATATGAATTTTGAAAGGTAAGGAACACACCTGAGAAGTATTTCACAATGATATTCCATTGTTGACTAGGATGTTCCAGCCCTAGTATGAGTTCAGTTCTAAAAAACTTGTATAGCCTGGCAACAGCTGTTTTCCAAGACACTGCAGCAGCACTGTGTGCAGGGCAGCTGTGTGTGCAAGGCTCTCCCTGGATGTGTACATATTCCTGCAGGAATGGTGTCCGTGGAGACCAAGGGTGTTGCAGATGTGGGTCATTCAAAATGCTGCACGTTGTTGTCTAGAAAGGGGGGATGAAAGTCCCTGCCACTTCTTGAGTGCATACAGCACTTTACTAGCAGGCAGTAACTCTCTCCCAAAAGCTCCACAAGCTCTCCCAGGCAGTCCCTGTGGCACAGTCCATACCCTGGCAATGCAGTTTGACAGGTGGAACTGCTGCTAAGCTAATATGTGGTATTTTTTGACTAGGTCATCTGTTGCTCATCTGTCATGCCTCTTTCCTGTACCCTTTCCTCTCACAGGTTTCTTGTTCTTACTGTTCGTTGGTTTCTCATCAGCTGAGTGCTCTTCCCTTTTCCTCATAAGACTTATTTCCTGTCACTAAAGCAAATTCATATTCTGCACCCCTGTACCACCCATTCCCTTTCACATGACATAGCGCTCCCTGTATCTGCATTTAAGTTCTGCCACGTGTCACACATCCTCCTGCCATTGCTATCTTCTCTTGCTTTCTGTAACTGCCATCTAAATACCAGATGGGCACCTTCTACATACCTCAGTCACTTGAATATCTCACAGAGACCTGAATGTGTTTGTGCCACAGCTGCCCTCCTGCTGAGGCTTTCCTTTCTTATTTCCTATTTTGGTTTCAGACTGTGCAAGGTGTTTGCCGCTTCCAGGCCTTATAGCTTCCTTTTACCACTTTACCCTGGTTTTTTTTCCTCTTTTTTTTGTTTGCTCCTGCTTCATCCTCCCAGCTTCTCACCATCACTTCTCTTTGTCAACACTGTTTTTTGGCACATTTTCAGTCATTCACATTTATCCCTCAGCGTCCATGTTGATGACCCATCTGATCCCTCAGTTGTATGTATTTCTGCCCTCAGTGTCTTCCTTCAGCGTGTGGCTCTGACTCCACAGGCCAGTGGAGTGCTTTTCTCTTGTGAATGCAGTTCGTCTCTCAGATCACCATTGTCTATGCTACCACCTCCTTGTCCAGCTGGATTTTGTCATCAGTCCTCCTATTATTTCAGTCTGTTGTACTGCTTAAGGACAAGAGGCCTCAGAAGTGTATTGGCTTTCCCTTTGCTGTTGCGTGAAGCACAGGTTACTACTTCCTAGGCCTGTTTGCATCTCTCCCCCTCGTTAAGATCATCACCCTTGTCCCTGTACTGACTGTGCTGTCACACCTTTTAAGTTACTGTGTGTGGTTTTTCCATGCTGGCTTTTCTGTGCTAAAGGAATTTACACAAAGCTACACAGTTAAGAATTTGTTTTCTAGATTACTGAAATCTAGCTCAATGTAGGCTTCTGCTGACCACTTTCTTCTGCTAACTAAAATTATGCTCTTCCCTTGCGCTTTTAAGGTTTACTTTTGCTCTCTAAACTTTGTGAAGCAGAGGCAGTTTTCTTGGTCTGTATTTTGATAGCATTCAACATGTTGGGACTTTGCCAAAGTGGATCCCCTGACTGGGCAAACGTCACCCTTAAGGGAAAAAAAAAAAAAATCACTGTAGTAACAGGTGAAGTGCACTATATATTTGTTATACAATTAGCAGCTGTTCAGCACAGTCCTGGGGGAGTCCTTGTGGAGGAGAGTGCTGCGTGAATACAAAACCAAGCTTAAGGTATGAATTTTAAGTTATTGCTAAAGGGTTTGTATTGCTGCAAAACCTGGAAGCTTTCATGGAGGGTTGTTGGTCCTAGGTTCTGAGCACAGGTATGTACTTTGAATTAAGATTTTGTTAGTGATAAGGAAGCAAAGAGTCAGGTATAAAGAGAGTCCTGTGTTAAGGAGGATGTGCAATCCAGAAGTTTGTAAAAGGTTAGAGAATAAGAGGATGAACCTTGGAATGGTTTAGTCGTATTGAATTAAGTTTCTCATCAAGTTTCTCATCAAGTATGGTATTGCCATTGGGTATTTCACTGTTCTTCAGTTCCAGAACACTTCAAAACATACACTGAGAATCGAGGAGCTTGCTCTCTTTTTTGGAAGCGGACTGTTTTAATTGGAGTGGGCTGTTAACCCAGTAGAAAATAAAGAATTGAAAATGTGTTTCTGAATTCCTCGTGCGAATAATGTTTTGTTTTGACCATGTAAAGTTTGCAGTCAAATTTTGGGGAAAACCAGGACCTTTTGCTTCAGTGCTCCACAAGGAAAACACTGGAGATGGAGTTAGGAAACAATTGCTATATATTTTTAATGCAAACGGATGAGAAAAGATCTGTAAGACCTAAAGCTGGGCAATCATGCAGGTCTGAAAGATGGCACAGAGACGGAGCTTAAATGGTGTGCTGCAAGTCTGAGAACTATAGCATGTGAGGCAGGTATCTGTGCAGCAGCAGCTGTAGTCCCTTGATTTTTGCATTGTTAGGAGTACCTGATCCCCAAACTGCACAGAAGAAAAGCACCTTTTGGCTCTAAGAGAGTTTCTGTTCACAGCTGTAACCTTTTCCAAGGGAGAGAGCATGCAATCTGGTTTGCCAGCTGTGGTGATAAACATGATGTAGAGGATTTAGCAGCCTAAAAATTCATGTTAAGCGTTTGGGAAATAACATTTGTGAAAGAAGAAAGACCTAAATGCTGCTGTACTTAATTATTTTGGGGGACTGTAAGAGTAACTAAGGGTAGAAAAGATGCAGAAGTTTTCCTGGTTTTTAGAGTTAGACCTAGCTGACAGGTCAGCAGTTCTGTTAGTTTTCCATCTGATGACTTGTGGACTGCTTCATGCGATCAAAAAAAAATCAGTGGCAGTAAGCTGCAAGATCCTGTGTGGAGGAAATGGGGCCTGCAAATTGAGAGAATTTGAAAACCATGGCTCTGTGCTGTGGAATTTCTGAACCTGTACACACAGGGATGCAGTATCAGGAGTCAGGGAAAAGAATATCCAGATGCTACAAACTGATGAATTGAAACTTGAGCGGGTAGCCGTGGCAAAAGCTGGTCATGCTCCATGAGCCGCCCCTGGGCAGTAGTTTGAGGGTTTCTGTATGGAACTTGCAGACAAGACAAGTCTCTCTCCCATATCGCAAACACACCACAAGCTGGCAGCCTTTAGCAGTCTCGCGGAAGAGGTAGGACCTGACTAGCCTGAGTTGTAGGTAGAGATCTGGCTGGCGGGTTGTTTTGTGTAGCTCCATTGCAGAGCCAGTTCCCTGGATCCAGGAGGCTGACTGTAATCTCAGTTGTGTACCATGCCGGGTTTTGCCAGTGAAAATGATCTGTAGTGGGACCCTGTTCAGAACATTTTTGGCCTAATTTGAGTGGCACCTGGCTCATCATCTGCCTTTGGCAAGTTAGTGCCTGCAAGGAGTATCCTTGGGCCAGGGGAATTGCAATGAATTCTTGGGCTTATATCAAATGAGTGGCATAAAGGGGACAGGGAATGGGAGTCCTGTGTTGGAAGAAGCTGTGCCCTACCCTGTGGACTCTGCTGTAGGAAAAGGTGGCTTTGCTCTGCTCTGCTAGCCTTGCTTCTTTTTCAGAGCAGTATAAGAAGGAAGCATATTTCTCCAAAGTGCCCTGTAAGGACATATTTTTCGGGGAGTAGGTTTTGCATGGTGTGGTCTTGTTCCAGGGAGGTGCTAACTGAACTGTATTTTTCCTGAGTTTGTGGTTCATGTTTTGTTGCAAAGTCCACTGCTCTTAGGGTGGTATGTGTGGAGATCACCGCTGAGATTTCCTGGTTTCCTAATGTTTGTTTTTAGGTTGTGAACTCCCACGTTCTGTGAGGGAAAGGGAAGTAGAAAAGACAGCTGTGTGAAAACAACATTTATTTTGCTGTGGTATTTTTTTCTTTTTCAGTAAGCTAATGATTGTGTTTTATTCTCATACTTCTGCAGTGCTGTGTCACTGCTGACATTGTGGCAGGCAAATGTTAGCTGACTGTAGTCCAAACATTTTACACTCACGTTGACTTTCCGTAGGATATGAGTGCTTAACTCCATTTGACTCCTTTGTAAATACTGTAATTATTTTCTGTATGTATGCAAAGCTCTAGAGGCATTTAGTCATCTCTTGTTTAAAGCAACTGTTTTGATCATCTGGTTATTAAGATTTTATTAAATTGACCCTTGATTTGGTGAAGCATCAAAGCATGTACTGAAGTCAAAGCTTGATTCCTCTAGGAACATTTATGTGCAAGTGCTCTGTTGAACTGGGATATTGGCTCTGTGTTTTGTTTAATCTCTGTGTGCAAGGGAGTTTGTGAATAAGAGTTGTGAACCAATTCTGAATGTGAGGAGACAACACAAATGAGCACAGTAAAATGTGTGTGGGAAGCAAATTGATTTTCAATTTGCTAGAATCATTGAACTAAGTATTTCACTTTTAATCATCCAAATATGAGTGAATGTGTCCTCCAGCAGT